TGTTATCTCGGCAGATTGCCTCCAACGACAGATGTGTAACGTAACATAGAGTCAAAGAAAAAATTATAGATTCAGATTTAAGATATTTTAAGGTGCAGCAGCGGTCCATAAAATTTATCCCGTTGTTTTCTGTTTCCTGTATTTGGGTTTTCAATAAGTCCGTGTTTAAATGTGCCACCCATTCGTAACAAATTTCGAAGTAGTGGTTTGGCTCTATCCGCTTCTCTTCTAAATTTGCATACCTGGTATATTGCTTTTACGCTTTTTTTCCAACGATTTACTCGTAATTTTGATTGCTTCTACACATTTTCGTGCGTAGAAACATATCTAAGGGGAAATTTGATGTGTGTCATCCTTTTAGTCGCTTTGCCGTATTCACGGCGCCTACGGTTCTTAGTTTACCTAAATTTTAAGTTATTGGTCATTTACTATACTGCATCTGACACCTCAGCTGACCTGTTTTGTGTATGCCGATGCCTGTTGCATCTTCAACGCCGATCCGTATTACACGTTCGCGTACTAGTGCGCTTCGAAGTGCTAATTAATGTCGCATTTTTTAAACGGATAGTATGTTCAAACGACTTCGCCTACCTTACCCTTAATAGTACTGAACTAAAATGCACGTCAAAGTATGTCGTTGCAACTTTTCGTTGCAGGTTTTGTCATATGCTAATGATGATAAGACCCTAAGCAGGGAAACGTGATGCTTCTGCTTCCGAGACGCTTGGTACAATCGCGTTGAGATTTAGGGTTACCAGATAATAAGTCAGTGTGATTAGGTGAAATACAGAAATTCCTAAACATGCGATAAACATATATCGGGAGCGGGAGGTCAAATCATTTTGATAATGCCAGGCTTATGAACTACTAAGTTTGTCTGAAGATATCCAACATCATTTCGTTTTGGACGGTGGCCTGTGCAATTATGTGGCGTTGATTCTAAGTAATTGCAATTATTGTTTTAACCCCCCTCCTATCAGTTCTCCAACTTAGGCCTCAATAGTTCGGCATCATGCTTAGCGGCTGTGGTCGCAACATGGTAATAATGCTTAAAAGGCACACTGCTAAGTAAAAGTGGTAATATCGGTCGCCGGTAGAGCACTTTACACATACCTTTGTACTATATTGTAAGTCTCGGCGTCCTTTGCTCCCTCGTTTTTCGATCAATCTTACTTTTATGCCTCAAGTGTTATTTCCCAAAACGCAATGTATTTATTTTATGGTTTTCATGCTGTTTTGGCTGGCATAAACTCCGAGTTAACTGGTTTCAGATTCTCCACATAAGTCAGGAGCGCCTGCGGAGGTTAACGAGACTATGGTATAGGTTAGGTCTCCCAAACTACCCGCCTTATGGGTAGGGTCTTTCTTCATAACGCAATGGCAACTATCATGCCTTATTATGTGACGGACATTATTCGCCATTTCGTCAGACCGTTATACCTTGTGACTATTTTTTGGTCTACGCTCCTAAATGGATGCCTCCTGTCGCCTTAAGGCAACCCCTGTACATGGTCCCTGATGGCTTATTCCCTAGACTTTTTTTGGAGGTCCGAGTAGCCTGCACACAATCTACTGCTAACAAGTGCTTCTTCAGTCTTTTGACTGCACCCTTTTAATTGTTCCTCTAGTGCTTATTCTATTTTAAACGCCAAATGCTTTCCTGGGTGCCTTGTTAATTTCATCTTTTTACTTCAGTTGATGGGAGGTGCTATATCCGATAATTCGAACGTTGATGATTCCATTCGTCATCATCAGCAACAGCAGCAGCAACAACAGCAGGCTCAAACGGCCGATGATCTCTCCGCGGCTAGGTCTCGGGATCGAAGTCCAGCGACTGGACCCATTATGGATGTCCGTTCCCTCGGCTATCCCAGGGGTGGCCAACAGCCTTCTATACCAACCCATTTAGCTCCCCATCTCCCGGCTGGACTCCTACCAAATCAGAGGCTTTCAGTGGAGGAACTCTATAATGCGATTATCCGCTCTGGCGTTACTGTAGACCTATGTGCGTTGATTTCTTGGGCGTTGTTACTACCTACTGCCTAGCATGCATTTTTACTCATCAGTCTACTAATAGATTTAGAATTTTGTAGCTTCGCATATTCAAGTTGTTAGTGTGTGTATACGTAGACATTTCCTGCTCGTCACCAGGTTGGCAGTTTTCGCTGTTGCCATTACTAATAACTGAAGTATTCAATTTCCTAAGAATCACCCTGCTTGTTCATCAGACCCATTCAAAGCACCCTACACGATTAAAGTTACGTTACTATATTCTCTCATTATTGAAACTGAATTACTGTATATAAATGTCATTTTAATACTATTTTCATGTTTCCTATTTAGGAAACTCTTAAATATTTAGCTTTAGCGACGTAAGCTATTTACCAATACGTTTGCCGAACTACGTACTTTCGGGTTGTTTTATCTTTCTGTCGCCTAATGAACCAGCGTGTCCCAAACAGCTAATCAGTATCTTCTCATTTTACTCGTCTGGTTATTTAGATCGTGGCAACACAATACCATCTTGCAAAAATAAATTCTTGAATTATTTCCCCAGTTTTAGTTTTAGTAGTTGGGTATATTTTTGCCCTCGAGATATTGGCTTTTCCCAATACAAGCAGCCACTGCAACCTACCTTCTTTGCTGTTCCAGCCCTTCTCGAAGCGTTTCGGCAACAACAGCTACAGCAACAGCAACAACAGCATCAACAGATGCAAGTTCTTTCTAGCATGAGTTCAAGAACAAGATCTCCTGCACATCAGTCTGTTCAACAGCCTGGATTTCAGGCTGTGGCTTCCGCTGCTGGGACGACAGCCAACGTGCCATACCAAGGCTCTTCACGCCCCGCTAGCGGCTCTCTTGCAGACTTACCTCAACAGTCTTCCGGTAAGTCCAATAACCTCACTCCTACCGCATAAAGATTGCTTGGTATATCCTGGTGACGGTCTGGTAAAAAAAGCTCTTTTACGATCTGTAGGCCGCCCAGGATCTGCAACACCTCAACATTCGGGTTCCCATGGTCACCGTAATTCCCAGACTTT